TAGATAGTGAGTAGAGTAGCCAATCAGAGAAAGGCATTTGTGATATGCTAGTAGGTTTATACTAAAACTTGATAGAAACACAGAACTAGCACAAGCTCCTCACGTAATGATGGCACAAGCAAACAGAATTTACATTTTGAAGATCAAAGTAAACTAGTTGTTTCCCTTTTTTGTCGCGGTGTTTTCTAAAAGAAATAGAAAACATGTTCTCTGTGTTTCTATTGAGTTATAGAAAGTCTCATGAAAGTTTGGGAGAACTCAAAAAAGCTGTGGAAACACTAGCCTAAGGCTCATGTTCCCACAGCATTTCTCGTTCTCCCATGGCAAACTTCCACTCGTGTTTCAATAATTCAATAAAAACATGGTACATGTTTTCTATTTCTTAAATTTTATATAGTTTAGTATATAGTATAGCTACTCACTGATCCTTGTCAAACATGCCAATCATTAAGCGGCAAGTTTCAGGATTGAATTGGGACCAGTTGTTGTTAAAGAGGGCTTGACGTAATTCAGCAGCAGTTATTTTCCCAGATCTGTCTTGATCCACGGTCTGCAGAATGAGATATTTAAAATCTTCCCTTCAATAATCATACATCACCAAAAATTAATCAATTTGTCCTTGCACATGGAAAATCTCAGGAAATGGTAATTAAAGCTTGATGTATCATCTTACTTGGAACCATTCCCACAGCACTGGATCTACCCCAGGAGGTGGGGCTGGACGACCTCCCCACCCTCCTGGGTAACCAGGAGGATATTGAGATGCTGGAGGGGGTGGTCCATAGGGATTTTGCTGCTGGTAGCCCTGTGGTTGACCATAATTATACTGGCCACCCTGCTAAGAAAATGAAGAAACAATATGTGAATAATTACTAATAGCAAATTATCTGTCTCTAAAAATACAACAATTACCTTCCCTCTGGCTTTAGGTTGAGACTAACAACTTGGTCAATTATGAAGATAGAATTGACCAATTGATAGCAAAAACGATTTCGAAAAACATTTAAGCAACAAAATTAGCATAAGTGAAGTAACATGATGCTTAGACGTCTTCATGTCATCATTTTTGAATGAATAAATCAAAAATAACAGCAAGGCATATTTATAGCACTTACGATGTGAGAAAATAAATTAGCAAATGTGACATGAAAACATTCAGGTAAAAAGTTTTGCACAAATGGAATCTGCTTGCATGTTCAGTTTCGGTCTTTTGTTCTTAATCAACAGCATTTTAAAGATCAAACATTTGAGTTTACCATGGCATTATTTTCTTTATGACTTTAAAGTTCTGGTAATAAGTAAGTTGTCAGGTGTTAAGCCATGCTTGTCCCTGAAATGTTTTCAGATCACAGAATGTTTATGTTCTTCTATGCGTTGATGGAGATGGCAGCAAGTGTCTCCAATATAATTTGCATCGAACAAATATCGGGGGGGGGGGCTTTTCTTCCATGACTCTAAGATGATCAGTGATCTTTTTGCTTGTAAACACTGGCTGTAGTTGTTGATTAATTTTCATATCCAGGTTGCCAAGTTGTCTGCGAACCACATCAGTTGATTTCTGATCCTTAAATGGTGATGTAATCGAACCAGGGCTGTCAGATGTTGTTGGAACTGGGTCTGTAGAAAGCTGGAGGCAATTGATAGCTGAGTCAATGAGCTTCTTGGGATATTTTAATTTTAAAAATATCACTTTTAAGTTCCTACATTCTGGCAAAAGGAAGTCTGCAGTAGATGACAAGTGTTTTGCGCGGTCTAACAATGTTCTTAGCAGTGACTGCTTGTACCAGCTGTCAACATGGCTTGGTAGTGCAGAAGGAGCCTTTTATTTGTTTTCTTTCTGTAAACACGGGTTTCAAGGCTGCCGTCGATTTTGATGATTTCCATGCCAATAAATGGCAATCGATTGTTGGTTGCTACTTCCATTGTAAATTGCATGGAGGGGTGGGCTTTATTAAGACATGTCAGAAAATCAGTGGTGTTAGAGAGGTTGTGTACCACAGCCAGCGTGTTGTCCATGAATCTCTCATAGAAACTCGGAAGCTTGTTCTCACACTGAACACATGAACGCATTTGCCACAAGCGGACCTAATGGTGATCCCATTGCGACACCATCAACTTGTTTGTGCAAGTTTCCATTAAATTGAAATAGCTGTTTTTTTCTGTTTGCAATACTTCGTAACTCTATCAGATCATCTTTGCTGATGTTCATGTTGTGAGTCTTGTTGAGCCAGTTGTCCTTGAAGACTTTATCCACTAGAATATGGACTGTTTCATCAAGAGGTACATTTGTGGAAAGAGCTGTGACATCATAGGAGACAAGAAAATCAGTTTTGTCAAGTTTGAACTCTTGGACCTCTTCAGCAAAATAGAAAACATCAGAGATTGTACACTCATTAGTCGACAAGGGTTTCAGCTTTTCATCAAGCCAATTTGCAAGAGGGTAATTGTAAGTTCCAGTTGCTGAGAGGATCTGCCAAATCGCGAGAGTTGTTTTGTTTGTTTTGGGAAGGCCATATAAGTGGGCCAGGTGAGACCCCTTCTGACAGACGAAGTCTGCCACTTCTTTAGGCAGAATTTCGCGCTCGACTGATTCAAGATGTTTTTCTTTCGCCAGAAGTAAATGATAATATTTTGGTGGTCTTTCTCTTGTGGTTGGCTTTTGCTGGCTAATGGGTCAGAATTCTGTCAGGTCGTCGATAGATGCCTCATTCAACTGTCGAATGTACTCCGACTTGTCCATAACGACAACCCCCGAGCCCTTATCTGGTTTAGTGATTACTATGTCATCCCATTTCTTGATCATTGATTGATTGATCATTTGCTGGTTTTGGGCCTTTTCTCTCGATATAATTCAAAGCAATTGAATGCAGGGTCGCTGCGGCTAGCTCTTTTTTGTTGTCGGAAAGCTTGGGTTCAAGTTTCCAATACGCTTTCTCAAATGTTACCTGGATGTCGAGGCAGAAATGCGAGGTTCAGGAATAGAAAATTGCAGACCACAACGGAGAACGAGTTTGTCAAAGAAAGTGAGATTGTGAGAAGAGATGGTCTTAACGTGTTGATCTAAGTCTACATCCCTGTAAAGTAGCCGGGCAATCTTTGATGAGTGGTCATCCACCATTTTCTGATAGGCTTACTTGCATAGCATCGCAATTGTCTTCAGAATACACAAGAAGAGGAAAGTGGAACATTTCTGACAAATTGCTAATACTTGCTAATGCACTGTTTTATTGTAACTTCATAATCATACGTATGCTGTCTTCATACATTGAAGATCTACATGCAAGGCTCATTTAACTGCAACTGTCACATTTCCATCATAAATCACTAAATGTTTTGCCCTTCTGTCTTCTTATCCAGACGATAACGACATCAACGAGTAATTAACTGATTAAAAACTAATTATTAGTAAATTACGATCAATGAGTAGTCGATGACTAAATATTGATGACCAAAAACTTTGCGTTCTTTCAATATTTACTCACAGTTGACATACATTACTAATCAATGGTCATTATGTCATTGATTATTTATTAATGCTATTGAATACTCACCAATAACCTATTTGATTACCCATTAAATACTCATTGACCATACATACATTATTATGTTACACATCTGTTACTATGTTACAGCATTTTTCTTTATTATTACTGCCTTTTTGTGCTACCTAATTAAATAAGTAAATTAGTATTGACTAATGCTTCAGATGCTGTCATTGTAGGTTCAATAATGGTTGCACTGACAAGCACCTTGAAGATGTTGTTCTTATTTCTTTAGTTACAACTTAATTTGTGCAGCCGCCGCAAGATTGACTGTATCAATGACTAATTAATGTCATCAATGACTAACCAATATTTGATGCAATTTATGACTAACTCTTAACGAAAAAATTGGAGGTCTACAGATTATTCATCGATAACTCATTAATGATTGGCAATAATCAAAGACCAATCAAATGATACCCCTCTGTTTATACTCATTGATTTCACTGACATTACTGATGTAATTGAGTATTTATGTCTAGTCTTATTGATAGAGGATTTCGCCATAAAATTGTCAATTGTCGCATTAAAGCTGGCATCAATTTGTTGGTACACATATCAGCATATTTTAGCTTAATTTTCCCAGCTAATTTCATACGGTCTGCATGCCTGCATGAAACAACGAGATCATGAGAAGAGAGATACAAGCTTGAGTTTAGCTCATTAAATCAGGCCTACAGCTTATGGGAGAAAATCTCTGTAGATAGACAGTTTATCTCGATGGACCATAACACAAACAAGTGAATACTGTAAAGAAAACGGCAACAAAAGACGCAGACAGACGTGATTCAGAGCGCAATTCCCGGAAGCTACAGCATTGATTTTCGTTATTCAGAATAAACGTAAAGTGCAATATGTACTTACATAAGCTGGATTATAACCTGGCTGATGCCCTGGAGGAGGCTGGTTCCAAGCCATAAAGGCACAGGAAAAACGGGACTTTCGAAGTTTAACCTTCCCTGATTAGAAGACGCTTTGAAATCAGGGCTGCTCGGATGAACAAAAAAAGTCTCCTCTAGGGAGGAGAGGGTATGTGGCCGTGAAACAATCACATTTATTTTACATAGACATCTATATGAATTTGAATTAGTTTGAATGCTATAAGGTGGTTAAAGGTTTCTTAAAAACTGTAAGGGAAAACAGTAGGTATTTCATTATTTTTTTAATATTTACCACGAAAATTCAATTGTCGAACGAGCCCTCCCGGAAAAGTCTACAACTTGACGCTTAATGGGGCCCAGTTTACCACGATCAGAAACGCCTGGTAGTTTTTATATGGAAAGAGCGAAAACAGCTTGTAAACTGAGACATGTAGTGGATGTTGTCCAACAAAACTTAGCCAGTTATCGGAAAGACTTCAAAGATGGAGCAAAAGGATATGTATTACAACAAGGCGGAGTACATAGAAACCGTAAGTGTAACGAATTATTCATATAATCCTCTGAAATGATCGATCAGTACGTTGACTTCAGAAATCTACTTTCGCGAAACGTGGAATTACAATTAAGCTTAAAGTTTAACTTGTGTATTGGCTACCTAGGCATCTGGAAACAAAGTAAGTCGTCAGTCAGTTTTGTGTGGAAGTCAAAACATTGTTTTAAATGGAAAGGTGAGTTAAAGTATTGGTGCTTTAATATTTTTATCGCATGTTAACGTTGTGGCCGTGAAAGGCTGGGGGTATGTTTCGAAAAAACACAGTCACATGTATTGTAAGCTTGGCCTTGAAATTGTACGTTCAGGTTTTCAGCAGTTTGATCAGCCTTCTTGAATTCTGATCATTTTAATTTATTATCCATTGTCAATGTGAGTGTGAAATTAACTATTGTAGTCAGAGTGATATAATTTTCTTTTCTTGTGTTCCGAACAACAGCAACAATAGTTTGCAAGCACATCAACGTAAAACATCTCAATGGATAAACTATAAATTATTAATTGAAAAGCAATTCAAAATTTATCAAATTGATGATATTTTGCATAATATCTTATACTTGGCGACTTACCCAAACATAGTTTGCCACTGGTCAGGAAATGATTATGGGGGGAAGTGTTTTTCAACGCCAGGAAAAATTCAGGGTATTTGATCTCCATTCCAGGTCAGGATGAAATCAGCGAGAGTTACTTGATCAAAGGGTGTTGTGGGGTTTGATGATGAGTGTTGTTTGAATGACAATGTTCCATTTTTGAAGTTTTGTGGGTACCAGTTTTAACACATGGTGGCTACCATGGCTGAGGGTCAAATCCGCTGCATCACTTCTAACTATCCAATATTGGATGAGGGTAAATTTAGCTAGAACAATCCAAAACATACTAATTGTCGATTCGTTTTTCAGACAATCATTCAGTCTGACTGTATTCTCCGTGGAGATCTAGCAAATGTCAGAATTGGACGGCAGTGCGTCATAAGCAAGAGAAGCGTTATAAGACCACCATTCAAGAAATTCAGCAAAGGGTCTGTATATTAAACATTGTATCATTACATGAACATGTGGAGGGTGCAGTGATCTAGTGGTTAGTGTGTCAGACTTCTGATTTGAAAATTTTGGACACAATCCTTAACTTTGACTCATAGCACCTTATCACCACCCAGCTACAGTCCAATGTGGAGACAGTGTGGCTTAGTAGGTGTGGCAAATGCTACCCAGAAAATTGCAGATCTCGGAACTTTTTGATCCGATCTTGAAATCTTGGAAGCTTTTGTTACAAGTCACGAAGTTTAGTTTTTTCATGTGTTCCTTTCGGTCTTGGAGCCTCGAATTTTTTTCGCAAGGTCTCGGAGTCTCGGATTTGTGTTTTTAGCAGATGTTCTCCGGCAAAAGTTATCACGTTGAACTTCTCTTATCATTCTCATCCCCAGAGGCCGCGCTCCCTCTGTCAGCACCAAGAATCGCGACCTCTGGCCGGTTACAACACCAGAAGTCCACAATTCACGGACTTCCTGTCACTCTGCGCATGCTCAGAGTTAAGTCTGACAAATCCAATCTCGTTCCCAGAGCCCATGTGTCTTTTGGTCAGCGCCAAGACCCGTGTCTTGGCGCTGACCAAAAGACACATGGACTCTGGGAACGAGATTGGACAAATCTGGTTGGTTCCAGTTTCATTATATTGTGTTTGCAAAGCCAATCAGAACCGGAATCTCATTGGACCTGTCCAGAGGTCATTATTCTTGGTGCTGACCAAAAGGAGCGTGGCCACTGGGGACGAGAATGTTCTCTTATTATATTCACCAAGCCCGCGTGCATGCTCATTTGATCAGGTTTCCGCTGACAGTAACCATGCTGCACGCTTTGATGCTGAAATCGCACAAAAACATGGTCGGTGGACTGTATTTTTAGCCGGTCAAGTCAAAGAATTCAAGTAATTCAATTTAGATTTTATAAGTGGTTAGCCTAAGGATGTGCGATTGTAGTCNTGGTTAAAACACCAGAAGTCCACAATTCACGGACTTCCGTCACTCTGCGCATGCTCAGAGTCAAGTCTGACAAATCCAATCTCGTTCCCAGAGCCCACGTGTCTTTTGGTCAGCGCCAAGTCCCGTGTCTTGGCGCTGACCAAAAGACACATGGGCTCTGGGAACGAGATTGGACAAATCTGATTGGTTCCAGTCTCATTATATTGTGTTTGCAAAGCCAATCAGAACCAGAATCTCATTGGACCTGTCCAGAGGTCATTATTCTTGGTGCTGACCAAAAGGAGCGCAGCCACTGGGGACGAGAATGTTCTCTTATTATATTCACCAAGCCCGCGCGCATGCTCATTTGATCAGGTTTCCGCTGACAGTAACCATGCCGCACGCTTTGATGCTGAAATCACACAAAAACATGGTCCGTGGACTGTATTTTAGCCGGTTAAGTCAAAGAATTCAAGTAATTCAATTTAGATTTTATAAGTGGTTAGCCTAAGGATGTGCAATTGTAGTCTGGAATATACCGGTGTGACTAAGACGGTGTATTCTAAGCTATTGTAGAATACTGTTTCGCAAAACAAACACAATATTTTACTGTAATGGCCTTTGCAATAAAGGAGCACTATGTCAACTGGAGAACTTCTGGAGGTCGTAGAAAGTACAAATGTAGATATAACGTCCAAATAAGACGTCTTAAAGAAACAACTGCATGCTTACTTTAATTTGATGTTTGAAGCTAGCTGACCAGAAGTTGATGACAGTGCGTGACCTTGAAAGTAGCTGAAAGTCAGGTCGTGATAGGCCGTAAAAAGGTCGAAATGTTAATGCATAACTAAATAGTTAGCGTTCATCTGTGACTGCTATTTTGGTAGTTCAAATAAACTATATTGATTGTATAATAGTTTTGACCAGTTCCCTGAGTGAGATCCAGTTTCAAGCAACCAAGAGCGCACAAATCTCACGTCTCGGGCTCAGAGTTTTGCATAATAAAGGTCTCGGGCTCAGATTTTCCGAAAATGTTCAAGTCTCGGTCTCAAATTTTTAAACAATGGTATCATTGTCTCGGCAAGTCTCAGATTTTACCATTTGCCATCCCTTTTAGTAGTAAGAGCAACAAAACTCAAAATCCAGATGGTTACAAGTTCTGTTCTGACTACTAGCTGGTGTTGTTCTTGGTAGCCTTGAGTTCAACACCTCTGCCATGCTTGTAAATTATAACTAATTGGTCTGTCTCCTGCAGGTTGGCATTTTCTTTTCAAAAATCTTGTTATGTTCATTTACAATGTTTCATTCAGTGTTTGTTTACATTTGCCCTGAAAAGCCCCACTGTAGGAGTGCTCAATGATTAAAAAGTTATTAATTTTATATATTTATATATTATGAAAAATGAAAAGGACACACAGTTTTTTGACAAAGTGCATCCTTGGGATGCAGGAAAAAAGTTGCGACTAGTTAGGAAACTGGTAATGTAAGAACTATTTGTATTAAAAAAACATGAGGGGCAAAAATAAAGCTTCATTAATTGTGTCACTGCCTGGACTTGGTTCTTGCCTCGCTGTTGAAAACAATAGAATTAAATTTTAGTAATTACTGTAAGGTAAAGGACCCCCAAAAATCAAAAAGAGCCCTCAACTCTTTGGAACTGGGGATCCCCAAGGACCCTTAACTTTCAAACCCAGTGGGAACTGTGTTTATTTACAATGTTACAAATGACTATGGTACTAGTTTTACAGGCCTGACCAGGCAAAGCCATGATTACTAACAAATTAAACCTCAGTCAAGTCACTGAGATTAGCTTGGCTCGGCAGACTTTTACTGAAGGCTCGTCTCCGTGGAAGGTGTTTGTTAATCATCTACTTATAGAATTCAACAGAATTTTCCTATTTAAGTGTAATTATGATATTAAGGAATACAATATTAACTCTATATTTTATAAAGAACTCGGTGGTGGGCAGATTTTAGAATAGAATTTTCGACAAAACTTCTATAATCTGAGTGTATTATATGGAACAATAAAAACATTAAGATAGATTGTAAAACCATCTACTATCCACATTATGTAGAAGCTGGGTTTTTTATCTGTAAAGATATGCTATTAAATATGAACAACTTAGAATCCTATAACACTGCAAAAAGAAAAGGTTTGAAACAGTCAGATTTCTTAGTTTGGACTGGAATTCGCCAGGTTATTCCACCCGATCTAAAACGTTTAGAGTTTAATGAGAATGAATTAAACTCCTTAGAATTTCAGTCTGGGGAAAAACGTTTTAATCCATTAACAAGTAGAAGTAAACATTTTTATGAATTAAAGCTGAAGTGTCAAGAGGTTTCATTAAGTGGAAAGAGACATTTTGCCTGGACGACACAGCTGTTTCCAAAGCTTTTCTTAATGTGAGTTCCATCTCATCCTAAACCTTTGTAAGGAGCTTTCAGTTTAAAATTTTGAATGATATTACTTTTACTAATTACCACTTAGCAAAGAGAGGCTATGCTCCAAATGACCTGTGTACTTTTTGTGGAATAGAATCAGAAATTGTAAATCGCCTATTTTATGAGTGCTCTTTCACAAACCTAATCTGGAATGATTTTGCATCCTTTTGGTCTTTGATTTCTGGCAAAAGAGTGAACTTCATGCTACAAGATGTCTTACTAGGTAAATTAGACGCAGAAATAGAAATATTGAATTACTTTACTACGCTTGTGAAACTACATATTTGGAGAAGTAGGAAATGTGGTGTAACTCATAATCCAAGTGCTTTTAAGGTAATTGTCAAAATGAAATTTAGAAATGAGAAATATATAGCTATGAAAAACAACACAGAACTTGACTTTCAGGCTAGATGGCAGCCGTATGTAAAATTCATATTAGAAACTTAATTTATAGTATTCAGTCTTGTGTTCATTGAATTTGATTATAATATCAGGACATGTAAAATAATTGATGTTGCTAATGTTAGGTGTTATTAAGAATATGTAATTTCTTTTCGTTTTTGTTTTTTTTAACCTTACAAGGTTGTAATAAAAAAGTTGAATAGTGAAAAAAGCATGACTACTAAGAAATTTTGAAATTTATTATTATGTTGTAGGGTTGCATTTTTTCC